ATGTACTTGCTATGCGCGAGATGATTGCTGCGGGATACCGCATTACCATGGATACTGATTTTGACAATGCCTTTGTTGTGCATTGCGATGGAGACAGACAGATGCGATTTGTGAATCGTAAGGGTGTGTATGTGTTGGAGCAACTTGGAGCGAATGTTAAACCAGGTGCCAAAGAGACAAGTGCGATGTATTGCCAGTTAAGCAACGTAAATAAACAACCCCATTTCGAACTTTCTTCAAAACAGAATGGATATGCTGGACTTGGGATGACTGCGAAGATGGCAACAGTTCAAAAGAACAAGGAAGGATTCACTCCAAGACAAGTCAAGGCTGCGATGGAAGCGAGAAGTGCGATGCACATACTCAATGCTCCAAGCACCAAAAGTCTGAAGTATGTGATCCGATCTGGTCTCATCAAGAACTGTCCTATCACTGAAGAAGCGATCAATCATGCCGAAGCAATCTTTGGACCTGACGCCTCTACATTGAAAGGCAAGTCAACACAACCAACTTTGAAGAAGACGTATGACGACTTCTTCAGTCCACCAGAGGAACTGTATCAGCACAATCGATCTATTACCGTCTGTATTGATCACATGGAGATCGAGAATGCTAAGTTTCTCACCACACAAGAACATGAGATCTACGATACCACCAAAATCTCCCCCAGCTTCCACATAACACCCATGATCTCAGCGCAAGGCACGATACTAGCAATCGCAACCAACGACGCAGAGGTAACATCACCGGTCCGAACGATCAGACGTTGGGAAGCCCTCAGCCTGTTTGGTTTAACAAAAGAGGACAGCAGAAAACTGTTGTTTGAGGAGAAACTCAGTTGGAGAGAGACAAAAGAGACAATAAAGAGCATGGCACCACAACAGGTGTGGCAGCAAGTGTTCACCTACAGCATGTGCAAAAACATTCAGCGACAACACCCAATAATAATAATAATAACTGAAACATTAATCGATTAAATGCTAGGTAGCGCATACGATTGCCGGTGGAATGGTCGGCTGTAAAGGTCAAGTACTGTGGAGCGGCGAGTCAACAACAAGTTTGAACC